GAAGGGCGAATACATAAGGAAAAAACACTATGTATATTAAAGAATATGTTTAAATTTGTCCCATTCAGTCTCTCTTTAGTCTCTTGTATATTTGTACAGAGCAAATATTCCAGCCGAGGTGAAATCCCACAGAACATAATTGAGATCACTCATAATAATACAGTGTGTGCAAACTACTCCGGTATACAATAAACATCAATTCTACTCATTTGACATTTAATTGTTCTTCAAAGCTAAATTAAGCAACTGGTTGTCAGATACTCTGACATGAAAGTGTAAAATGAAATCCTACTATAAGCGTAAACATAATCATCTTTTGATTTTCACGACGCACGTCTGTGCAGCAGCTGAAAGCTTTCAGGCGCCGCTGAAGTACTTCATGTGTTTCACATTCGCTGTGTTGAAACATGTTTTTTTTTTTTTTAAGAGCTTTGCGGATGTTTTTACTCTGATTGGCTAATCTGGCAACATCTTTAACTGTCTGGGTCAAAGCCAGGAGAGGCTTATTGGTTCCATCGACAGATGGACCATTTTACAACCAAACTATTTAAAACTGCTGCTGTTTAGGACCCCATAAAACCCAAATCTGAGTCGTACTATGTTGTCCGCCTCAAATACAAATCTGTGTGTGAATGCATCAGTATAGGACTTTCTATTGTTTAGGCAACAGATGACAGCCAAATGTGTATTATGATGAAAACCAGTGATCTTCTTTAGTTCTTATGTTATCTAGATTTCATCCGAAGCATTGTAATATATCTCCTGGATGCTTATCTGTGAAAAAGACAAATAATATCCTTTTTGATTTCATTGCTTGTCTTTGGCACAGTTATTAATCCCACATCATCTCTAAGTCATTAGATCCGCCTGTTCCTTGTGTTAAAGAGGATAGTTCAATTGGAAAGAAGAGGGGTAACACCGCCCTCTTCTGGGCTTTGTTGTCATAACGTGGTCATCATCAACTCTCTGGTCAGGAGCTCCCACAAACGTTACTCCATAAAACACAGAATTAAGTCAGTTGAAGCAACAAGCTTTCCATCAAAGTAACAAGCTTAAACTATTATGTCTCTTGTATTTAGGAACTCGGGCTCAGAAACCGGTGAGGAGAAGTTCTGATAAAACAAACCCTGTAAATCAGGGCACCAGGGCCACGTCATCTGATTCCTTTTATTTGTCTGAATAGAAAACAATCATGATGATACCACAGAGCCCTGAAGGGCCACTTTGCTCTAAATAACCTCATCAGAGAAACACTCTCCGCTCCCCTCCTGTCTGTGCGTATAAGAGCCTGTTGACCCAGACAACACTCAAGACTTCCCCTCGTCTCCAATGGAGACGCATGCTGTCACAGAAAGACCAACGATTTTACTCTTCCATGTTTTTTTGGGACAGCAACCAATGATTGTTTTTCATTGCCGATTCATTTGATGATTGTTTTCTTCTGTAGAGGCTCCCTGTGGAGTTGTTGACCATTAGCCGTGCTACAACGCAATGTCTTTGTGAGTGGGTCCCTGTTTTAATTGTTCTTGTGCTCGCACATGAGCATGGGGGTGACACGACACACATTCCTGCCAGTGGTTTCACACTATGCCACCATTTCGCAGATGGCGGTAATGTGTCAACAAAAGCAGTGAAGAAGACTTTTCGATCTTAAAACTGGATTTAAACATTGCAGGTTTAAAAACGATTTGATTTCTTTTATGAAGAAGAAATATATTCAACATGTTTGTTCGATCTAACACATGTTTCAGTGCGAAACACTGAATATAACTTTTGTTTGTTTTCTAGAAAACTCTCAAGGACACCTTTTATTAAGGAATTGTTTTTTCTATTAAAAATGAGAAAATAGCAAAAATAAAACACCATTGCAATTTTCCAGAGTCCAAGGTGTCAACTTCAGATGTACTGTTTTGTGTGTCTGTCAACCCAAAACATTCACACTGATATAAAACAGAGAAAGTAGACATTCCTTGCGTTTCAGACAAAAGTTTGATTACAGTACATTGAAAGAATTGCCATATATTTTAAAAGCTGCACTTTCTAAAAAGGCACACTTTATAAATGGCCTTTTAAATATTTACTTTATTAATAGCCATTAAAAAGTGCTTTTCAGATCAGTAATAAACAATTGAACAAACTCCCCCAAACCATTTAAACTGTGAGAAACAAATAAACCTGAGGAGGAGCAACAGAGATGGACTGTTGCAGTGTTGTACCCTACAAGGACATGTATTTAAGTACAGCATGTTATCGGCCACAGAGCTGCAGTTTTGCCGTATCTCCACAGGATGGAGGCAGAGACCATCACTTGATGTCATTCAAATGAACCCCAGGTATGCCTTTGTGATGTAAGATGACAGTTGAAAATACCAGCCCTATGACAAGCAGTCAAACTCCTCCCCAAACTACCGTCAACACAATAGCTCACATTCCTTCAGGGACTTGCTTATTAAAATAAATCCGGTCAAAGAGTCATTTAAACGTGGTGGTTTCTCCATTGTGTCCGTGGAGCACTGGCCTGTGCCAAAGAGTTCCAGAAAGAAGCACAATACTGAACGTCATCTCAGAGCGGAGACTGAGTGTGGCAGGAATCAGGCCTGGGTGTGGCTAGAGAAATTGAACTCAGCTTTCCAAAGATGTGATAAACCACAGTTAATTTATGTTTTAACAGGGGGGGGGGGCAATCACTTTTTCACACAGGGCCATGTAGGTTTGGATTTTCTTTCCCCCTTAATAATAAAAACCTTCATTTAAAAACTGCATTTTGTGTTTACTTGTGTTATCTTTGTCTAATATTTAAATTTGTTTGATGATCTGAAACATTTAAGTGTGACAAACATGCAAAAAAATACGAAATCAGGAAGGGGGCAAACACTTTCACACAACTGTAGCTTTCATCTGAAAAGTTAAATTCTTCAATGATATTAGAGCTGCAACAATAAATTGACAGATTGATGTCGCTTGACATAATCGGCAGCTATTTTAACAATCGATTAATCATTAAAGTAATTTATTCATGCAGAAAATGCGATGGCCAACCTCTGAAATATGGAGATTTTCTGCTTTTCTCTACTTTATATCATATTAAACTGATCTTTGGGTTTTAGACTGACATAAGGAGACATTTAAAGACATCATCCAAATGATTAATCTAAAAAAAATAATCGGAAGATGAATCAATAATAAAATAATCATTAGTTGTAACCCTAAATGATATATTGGGATACTTGTGACTGTAGCATTACTGATTGTTTTTAACAATCTAAAGAGCTTCAAACATCATGAATTGCCAATAAAATACTCTTCTCTGTAATTCTATCTCATCAAGTCATGAGGTTCGAGGAAACATCTGATGACGCTCTAGTGTGTGTTCATCCAACAAAGAAGTTAGTGTATGTAAGAGTGTACGTGTGTGGTTGGGGAACTAATGAACCCGGATAAAAAGGAAGGATTCATTTTACATTTTACAAGTGACAAGATGAGGTCACACGGACACGACGTGGAAAACACCTGACTTTTTTATTCCTCACCACAAAACCACCTGTTTGAATACTAACCACAACCTTAAACTGACACAAGCCTTTGAGGAAGTTTGACGTTTTGGAAAGTACGCATAAATATACTTTGTAGATAGTTCGATGATCTAACTGACAGCAAAGCGAATAAGCATTTTCCCAACTATGTCTAACTATTTCCTTATCATTATCTTTTATTGATGTTTAACTCGTGGTAATGTGTAAAGAGAGGAACCTTTACGTCACGACAAAATAAAACAAACAAAAGCCAAGTGATTCTTACTACACCCATCTTTGTACCGAGTGTCGTCAAACAATAATTATAATAAAGGAGTTGATCCACTTTAATCACGTCGACTTCTCAAAACGGGAAGTGGTTGATTGTTGTTTGAGAAGTTGTTCAGTGTGAATCAGGTCAAGGCCAAGAAGAATGGTCCCCAAACCTTCTTAAAGACTTCTTCTTTCCCCGTCGTTCTGTACGCCACCGTCTCTTACGATGGCATCTCGAACACTTGTTCCACCCGTTCATTAAAGGTAATGACATTGTTATTGTGGCCGACCGAAGCCACAGTCTCCGATGTTTTGTCAGTGTGTTGGGCTCTGGGGTTAAGCCATGTATACAATAGCTATTTCAGTATCATTAAATCTTGTAAAGCCATAACTGACAGACCCCTTCATGTACAAAAAAATTAAATTGTCTCGCACACCTTTAAACGACCACCTCTGTTATTACTAACCTGCTTTTTGGGGGCCCTGTTGTCATCCCCGGAGGAGCCCGGACTCTGATGTGTTAGGCAATCGCTGATTTGGCAGCTTTCCAGCAGCTGAGGCACACCAGCTATCCTGTTGATACTTAATCTGACTCTTGCGCTTACACACACACACACACACACACACAAACGCAGACTTGCAGGCAGGTATGCGTATGAAGGCGCACACAAACACAAGGCTTACGCAAGCCTCGGCCAGCCATGCCTAGGGTAGTCATAACACACAGACGGTGGAGACATGCCAAGATGTTATAGGTCAAACAATGATTCATAAGCAAAAGTGGATACGATTTTAAAAAGAAAGGATTATATGTATTTAAGTATGAAAAGTGCTGGTGTTTGATGAGTTGCACGGTTACCGCTGAGGAAAGAAAAGAGCGAGTGCTGTATCTGCTTCCCTCCCCCCCCCCCTCCCCCCTTTTACGTGTTCCAGGAAAAGACACTGACCCACTGTTGACATTTGTGTGTTTGAGGAGTTAAATGTTACATTACGCAAAGGTCAGAGAAGAGTAAACGGTTAGAGGCAGAGATGGAGAGAGAGGGAGAGGTTTCTTTTTTTTTCCTTTTCAAGGAGGAAATTGAAAGCGCTGACTAAAATGAGAAAATGTAAAGAGAGCTCTTGCGGGTAAACCTTCTTGGCATGAGGTGCAGGTGGTTGCATGTGTGTGTGTGTGTGTGTGAGGGAGACGAGCAATAGTAATGAAAAAAAAACATGTTAATATGAAAAAAATGTGATCTTTATTCAACATCTCCACACATATTTCTAATATACATATTTACACCTTTTTGTACAATGAATATATCTCGTATGTAACCCGTCTGGACCAGTAATAGCCTCTAGGTTGTGTCACAAATACATAATTCACAGTGCAATATGAAGTATGTGCACCCGTGTCAGTTTACTCTACGTGTCACATGAATGTGTGACTCTGCTTGTACGAACCAGGAACAAAATCCTAAATCTCTGAAATTACTTTTCTGCCAGGAACAAAAATTCAGATTGTCACAAAATCCGTTCCCATCTGGTATCCCGAGCAGATGAGGGGGAATAATAATTAAAGAACCGCAGCAGACGTTTTATTAACCTACTGGTTGACCCACACATGTAATGCACAGCGCTTCTCAGATATGCCCGATTTTTAGTACCGTCTTCAAAAAAATGATTGTGCCAGAATGAAATAGCTGGCTGCAGATCGAGCCTGCAAGGATAAACGTCACTGAAGCTCTGCATCCGCCTGTCACAATCCAAGACAAAAACGTCTTTTTAAGAACGTGGTGCATCATGTCTCCAACTATGATGACTAGTCTCCTTGGATACAGCTTCCAACGGCAAAAAAATCAAAGGGAAAAGAAAGTACCATAAAAGAGGTGAAACAGTCGGAACAGATTCTTCCAGCCAAGGTCAGGACCATTTTCTACAGACTCGCTCAAGTGTTGAGTCATCATTAGACAACCGACATCAAATATCGCCTGACTGCGACTGATTCAGAGCCCTTCAGTTTATGAAACACAGTGATACGGGCACAACACTCCGCACCGCTCAGCTTTGTTAAAGCAGCACAGCTGGACATAATGTTCCAACAGAAATGAACAAAACACGTTCAACTGCTCAACTGAGAAAGTCTTCATTTTTCAGAAGTAGGTTTCTTTCCTAACTGGATATTTTGACACATTTCTGAAAACAACAAAACACAACATTGTTGGATTGAGAGATAACTCCATGGCGTTGTAATTCAAGTGGAAGTACTATTTGAATTGTCTGTTCATTTGAACTTTTCCCCCTGAAATGCAGCATGCATTTAGACTTAAGATGTATCCAAGCATCCCTGTTGCTGCAAAGGCATGTGACCGAGTCTGATTTTATTTGAAGAAGCATTAGTGTGGGCTAACTGCACATGCAGCGTTTCAGAGGAGCTGAACAGATTGATTACAGTCACATTTAATAGACACTTCCTGTTCTGATGCAACCTTTTTAGATGATAAATTCAGATATGAGCATGTTTTTGAATAGCTAAATGATTTAGTTTTAACTGTTAAAATTATCTAACTTCCTCTGTTAGCCATTTACAAGGACTTGTGTTCGCCCAGTACCACTGCTTATTATTGAGTGTGTGTGTGTGTGTGTGTGACTTCTCAGTGAGTTTTACACTCGTAACATCCTGCTGTTCTCAACCTTCTGTGAAGGGTGTGAGATTTGTAAAAGCGCTCTACTTGCTGAGACGTTGCCAGATTGGCAGTGAGACACCTTCGTAGCGTCCCCCGCTGAGTGTGACACATCAGTCCTCTGCTAAGCGTCTTTCTCACTCTATGACACTGCCTGCTGCGAGACGTCAAGCTTGTGCTAGGCCTTCCACGAGCTGGTCCGTGAGTCAGCCCGGCGGAGCCTCCAGCCTGGTCGGAGACTAGAGTGAGAGGAACAATGTCACGTCACGTCTCCTCGCCTCCCATTCAGGATTCATCTAATGCTTTCTGAAGCCTTGTGAGTCCAGGCTGAGAGCAAGCACCGGTGACTATTGTTTGCCATGGGTTAATTCTCTGTGATACACTCATAGTAGCCTGCAGAGATTATTTTGTGAACGTAATCTGGCAAATTCAAGTCCTTGTTGTTTCTTTTAGCACCAAATAATTTCAAAAACATACATAAAGAAGGATCATGGTGAACAATGCCCGTAGCAAGTAATACACATACGACAAGAAAAATACAGTACAGTGAGTTCTTGTAGAAAGCTAATGAAACAAATGGGGTTTCTAAAATGTGCCATTGTAAAACCACAACAATGGATCCCTCATAGCAATTCCTGTTTTGGTCCCTCAGCCAGTCTCGGCTGAATCGAGTCCGTCAGCAGAACAGATCATCATCCTCTTCCACATTAAAGGATGGCACCATCTGTTCTGCCGAGCTCACTTCCTGTTCACCCAGTGCCACTTCCTGCGACGACGGCGGCTGGTGGAACCACGGGTGAGCAAGCAGCTCAGTCGCCGTGAGTCTCTCCCAGGGTTCCTTCCTCAGCAGGCTCTGGAGCAGACACTTGGCCCTGGGCGACAAGCCCTCTGGCAAACAGCACTGGCCTCTGCGGATTTTGGAAAACAGCGTGGCCGGGTCCGGGTCATGGAACGGGTAGCGGCCAACCAGCATAGTGTACAGCATGACCCCCAGGCTCCACATGTCGGCCATCTTGCCAGAGTAAGGCGCGGAGCCGCTGAGGATCTCTGGGCTGACGTAGGCGGGGCAGCCGTGAGTGTCTGACATGGAGTCGTCGGTGGGGTCCTCTAGGACGCGACAGTCCTCGAGGCTTTCTAGTCTCACCTGTGTCCTGTGAAGGAAGAGTCAAAATAAGGTCAGGAACATTTTCAACGGACCTTTTTAAAAAGCTGTGACAATTAAAAGAAGTTCAATGTAATATATTCCTTTAACTGACAGCAGCTTGTAGAAAGGATCCCCTTTCTACAAGAACAGCAGCTACTAGTGAGAGCTTTAGTCGCACTGTAACAGTGACATCATCTGTTATCTTGTACACTTTGTAGTGAAAAGCAAAGAACTTGATCTCCATCCCCCCCAAGATCCAACTCTGCATGTCACAAGCAGAATAGTTTTTGCAGAATTTCATGTTGTTGTTGGAAATGATGTCCTCGGAGTTCTCATGTTCAACAATATTTAAAATCAAAGTCATTCCTCGATCTAGTACAACACTGATAGTGTGTAGTGTTTGTGTGTTTCCAACAGTGGCTTTGTTCAACACTGTCAGACATTTCAGTGATCTATTAAATGTAAGTCACTGATTGCATCACAGGAAAAACAACCATCCTTTCTTGAGCCTTAAGCGGCACAACAGATGGACACACACACACATACACACACACACACACACACACACACACCACAGACACCAGTGAACTCCCTATGACCTAAGTGCACAACAGTGAGTCCAGTTTGAGAATCAGAGCTGCCTAAGTACATTTCCAATGACTTCCTGGCACACATGGTCACATGCACACTCTCACACAAAAATATACAACTCCTCCTCCTCCTCCCTTACTCTCACTCACAATGCTATATTTAGCCATGTTAATGACAGGACGATGGGTTTAGTCCAGCGCCAGAGCAACTGACATTGTGAAAGTGTATTTGCAGAATAGGACATTTACGGCTGAAGCGCTCTTTCAAAATGATTGATGGAATGAGAAAATGAATTATTAATTTTCAACAGCGACAGACGTGCCATGACTTTAATTGAAATTTCATTTGTGCCTCTTAAGATTTGCTCCCGAGACTAACACAGTGATTGAGGCTTTATCAAGTAGCGTGCTGCTTTACCTCACATTCAGAGGATCGACCGACTCTGTGAGACACTTCAGCTGTCAGACAGAGTGGCTGGAGAGAGAAATAATCAGCCAGAGAGGGGATGAAAAGAGTGACATCCAGGAGGACCGAGATAGAAAGCAAATGATATTTAAACACCAAGATAGTGGGGGAGATAAGTCGGGGGAGGAGAGCGAGCGATGGAGACAGAAAAGGAAACAGAACAGAGAGAGTTAGAGGGGTGGAGAGAGTGACTCATCCTTCTGTTGAGAGTACATTTCTCTCTCTCTCTCTCTCTCTCTCTCTCTCTCTCTCTCTCTCTCTCTGCGGCTATCTGCACCTGGGTCCCACACTTGCGGCGCCAGCCATCCCATAATTACCCTCAAATGGCTGTTGCCACATCAGTGACGCACGGGAAGGCCGGCCCAGCAGTGAAGCTCTGCATGCTTCGCAGTGCTAGTCACTTTCCCTAAAGTGTGTGTGTGTGGGTGTGTGTGTGTGTGTGTGTGTGTGTGTGTGTGTGTGGAGATAGCATTTGTCAAATTGTTGTGACTTTCTGGCTTGGGTGCTGCATTGTTGGCAGGGACATTACATCACAGCGTGATTGTTGGGGTTTGAAAGATGCCCGATTTTGGATTTGGAAAACTGTATGATGGGATTGATGAGGTCACCCAGAATTGCAACATTTCAAGGAGACTTGTATCGATGTGCGTCAAAAGTCTGTCTGTGATCAGATAGAGAGGCAGCCATCTCGGGGTGAACAAAAGCTAAATTCCACACTATCGGCCAAATCTGCAGCTTTTTTTTTTTTTACAGCCGCATCACGGTAAGATCATCCGTAGTGGCACTGCAGTATGTCGCCAGCCAAAGTCTAAAGAGAAGTTAAGAAAGATGTCATCCCACGACTCCAGGGTCAAGTGGGTCTTGTGGATGTACCAGCATCAATGTTGCAATGCTGTAACTCTGCTCACAAAATACTGAATTGAAGGCATAAGCCATTGAGCTGGCTCTGAATGTTTAATCGGCGTTCATACGGACATGCATGCATGGACACACACACACACACAAAGAAAGAGAATGAGCTATGCAGCCCCCCCTCCTCTTCCCCTCTGCACATATACTCTGTGACTCATCGCTCTGCAGCCGTATAGCTATCAGAGGGACACAACCAACTTCAACTTCTCTCACTGGCTGTCTGCTCTCATTCATCCAGTGTGACCCTGCTAACCCAGAGGTCATGGCTGGGGAATGTTACTGTTGAGAAGTCTCCATGAAAAAGGGCCTTTGGAAAGCCAAGAGGGGGGGTTGTGCTACATCAGCGCTTACAGGAAAGACTGTGACGCAAGGGCAAAGAGGCGACAAATAGTTTTGTAAGCAGGGGTTTTGTGTGTCTTCCTGTGAACCGAATGTGTAGCACGATGCAGACATTAGGGAGCATGTGTGTGGGAGCCAGTTCCAAGCAAAGCGCTTTGACCTACTCCACCATGCATGGATGACAGTGTATTTCAATGAATCCTTGTTGGAAGCATCGGTTATTCTGCGGAATAATTACGATGTAATTTATGAATAAATAATGAGGAATAAATATATTCTAAGATATAGACTGCAGAAGGAGATGATTGTCTCATTCACCAGCCTCGTCTCGCAGCTCTGCCAAACTACCACCCACTGCATTCACACGTGCATGCGCTCACGCATGCAAAACAAACACGCATACAAAGAGACTAGTCGAAAGTGAGAATGGGAGACAGACACAGAGGGGCGAGAATCTGGGAAGCTATGCAGTCTGCCTCCACAAGTACAGAACCTCCTACTCTATCTGCGCCCACATCGATATCTGCACACATGGCCTGTGTGTATCAGCTGCTGCCGCGGTTTGCTCTGTGCCTTCGCTGGCTCGTCCCACTGCACTGCATGTATTTAAGTCTGAGAGCCTCCAGATAAAGTTAGCTGTTTATTTGAGCTGAATGAAACCGAGACGAATGAATGTGACGCTGAGCAGGTGCCCGGTTACAATTGCGAGAAAGCTTTCAGGTGTCATCTGACACTGAGGACCAGTGTTTTAAGTGTGTTTCCTTGAAAGTACTGCAAGGGATGTGCTTCTTCTCACCTTTTCTCATCTGCAAAGACAAACTTTCGCAGTTTGAGGTCACCCAGCACGATGCCCGCCTGGTGGCAGTGTGCCACAGCCAGGGCCACCTGACGGAAGAGCCTGCAGGCGTGCTCCTCGTCCAGCCTGCGACAACTTTTCACCAGGGTGTGCATGTCCCCAAAGTCCTTGTCCAGGAACACGTAGGCTTTGCGTTCGCCAAGGATGATGTCCCTGACTCCGGCCACATTCTTGTGGGCTGGCAGGATCCCGTAGGCTCTAATCTTTTCCTGGTACACACCCATATCGAAGACCTAAGAGAGGAGAGCAGAACAGAGATGCAGGATGGAAATTAGGAAGATTCAGAGGCAGGGAGGGAGGAGGGAGGGAGGGAGGGAGTGTGTTTTGTGTGTGAGGAGGAGGAGGAGGCAATGGGTCAGTGTGTTCTTAATGATCATCTGAGGAAACAAGCATGCAAATTTGGCAGCGAGTTAAAAAGAAGATAAAGGAGTAGGATATGCTTTGATTCTAGCTGCTTTTGCAAGAGCATGACAAATGAATCAGCAAAGCATGAAGCGATTAACTTTATTAATCAACAAAGCCAAACGCCTGCAGATCTATCATGCAAAAATAATCACATAGATCTGGAGCAGCGGAGGGTACACTCTCATTACCATGAGTCTTTGCCTCACATGTTTGCATTTTGTGTGTGCGTGTGTGCGTGTGTGTCACGGCGCGGCGTATTGCAGTGACGTGTATGCAAATGAGCCGGGTTTAACATACACTTGTATGAAGCCACTGTGCCAAGGAGAAGTGGGTTTCAATAGGTTGCATTTCCACCACACAGCAGAGGCTATGGGGCTGACCGGTCCTTCGTGCTCTTTGTAAACATGTTTGAAATAATGTCGATGTAACTATCCTGAACTATATCACTCCTGTTACTACGCAAAGTGTGACACATTTCACGTGAGACATGTCATTTGGTGAGCAAGTCGGGCTGAATCCTGATGACATGTCAGACGGGCTATTGAGCAACGCGATGAAACACCATTCATTCAAAGAAACATTGCACAACGACGGGATTGCGCATACCTTGCACAGCTGCTCTTCGCCGGTGTCGGTGTTCATCGCGCTGTGCACGCTCTCCCGGTCCGTTAGAGGTAGAAGCAGAAATGGTCCTATCCTGGATGGCCCCTGGTGGGTCGCCGGGAAAGAGTTTGAGACGGGGCTCACCGGGGAACCAGGAGAGGTGCCCAGGAGTCCCTGTGTGTCCCCCGCCTCGGAGCTCAGCCTGGCGCATTTGGCCGGCGGCTGATCGTCTGAGTCCAGCCGCTTGTGCGCGACTCTCCCGATGCGGATGCAGGGTGCCGGGCTGCTCCACTGCAAGTTCATCCTGATGGACCGATTCACCGTCAAAGCAAAAAACGAGATCCCGACTGCTTTAGTATGTGTCCTTTTTAAAATAGACTACAAACGTTGCGCTCCATTTCTCCGTGCGAGATCCATTCTAGTTGAGCTATAAATGAAACTTCAGCGGATTCAGGAATAATCCGACCCACGTCCTTTTTCAGGAGAGCGAATGCCCGTGGCTCTGAGGTCCGTGTACTTCTAGTGAGAAAATCCCGATCCCTCAGAGTCCAGACTGAGAGAGCGGGGGGAGAGAGAGAGAAAGAAAGAGAGACAGAGAATGAAAGAGAGACCGCCTCACACTCGGAGAGAGGCAGAGAGTGAGTGAGCTCCGGTGATGTTGAGCTCAGAGCTCAAACACTCTGCCCAACCAGTCCAGCCTCCTGGTGACACAACCATTGAGCAATCCTGTAACGGCACCGACTCGAGCTCAGCTCTGATGAAACAGCCCCGTCTGTATTACCTTTTCGCAGAAGGCTGCGTGACCGTATGGCGCAAACATTTCTCTCTGTTGGTTTGTTATGGTGTCAACATTCTCTGAATTACTGCTCTGACATTTTGCTGATGCAAAGGAAAAAAAAACCTACCATGTGAGAGGAATGAAGAAATCATCTGCTACTTATCATGGCTGCATCATCAAGCGTGCTCACATGTTTTAGACAATAATTAACAATCCTTAAAGATCGTTCTCTGACTCAGTCGTTTCCTTAATGTTCAGCCATTTATTGCAACAATCTCTCCACAGACCTCCTGTATGGCACCTGAGCTGTTTGCTCTCCAAATGTTAGGCCTCAAGTGTGAACTAGCCCGCACAAAGCTCCGGTGTATGAGCCTTAACTCTAGCTTTAACATCGCCATGATATTTTCCCATGCTGGGCTTGTTTGTTATGTGGATATGACTCACCCTTATAAAGCCTTTAGTGGTGCTGGGCTATAAGCATTCACGTAAAATATGCGAGCGCGCGGCTTCGTAAACAACATCATAGCAGGTGGGCTCCCAGGGACGCCGATCCCAAGTTAGAACTACTGTACAGGCAAGTTAGTACTCTGCAACCAGTGTGAAAATGACGCCTTGAAAACAGTAGGATAAGTAAACTATGGGCTGTTGCTTATGAATGTAAGAACCAGACTTTGAAGGGTGATCGAAAAGCACACATGACCGTGTGCGTGTTGCGTAAGACTTCTCTTTTTCCACTGCTTTAAGTCACACAAGCACAGTGGCTGCAGTAGAGGCTCTCTGAGCACTCACCAAAACACAGAGCACCAGCTGGCCCGTGTGTGTGTGTGTGTGTGTGTGTGTGTGTGAGCGAGCACTATCGCCCCTATTTCGCACAACCCCTCCTGCCAAACAGAAGCGTGCTGTTCCAAACCATTTATTTCCACATTTCCAACACAGTTCCTTCTTCAAGAGGTCACACACTTAAATGGGTCACAAGAGCTCGGCTCAGCTTGACTCAGAAAGGTCATGTGAACCTGTCTCTGCAGGCCGTCCAAACGCGGATGAGCTGCAGACTCCATAGGAATGATGGCTGTTATTTTTAGGCCTCGCATTCTTTCTTTGTGCAGTGGTCGTCCCATGAATAAGGTGAGTCACCAACTGATTGATGTGTGCGTGCGTCCCTGTGAGCAAGTGTGTTTGTCATGCTGTCGAACAGGCACAGGAACAGGTTTCCTCTCTCTCTCGCTCTCTTTTTTAAGAAGTTCAAAAAGCAGGATGAACAGTCACTGTGGGAATGGGCGGCAGTTCTGTGAAAGGCCCAAAGATTTATTGATATCCGACAATAGTCCGGACCTGGTGTGTCAGTACATCAACGTGATGATGCATGTTTGTTGCTTGCTTATGTGTGACACAGGGTTTAGGTATACACTGGAAAAACTGACTTATTTGTATTGGCTGTGATAAACATAGAGTGTGTGTGTGTTTGCGTGCGTGTGATATGACGATTTGTTCCAGCGTAATAGGGTTTACGTTGGAGTTATTACATGTGTAAGCTGTACATTACCCTTTTGCAATATGGTTTATGTTGCTGGACTGCAGGTTGTAGCTGGTCGGTCAGTGTGTACCTGTGTGTGTGTGTGTGTATATACAGCTGCTGTGTAGGAGTGTAGCTGCGTCCCCATGCTGGTGAGCTGCAAGAGAAAAACGGTATTCAGGGCATGCTCTCCCTTGTTATAATTAGCGGAGTCACTCACCACAAGCAGCGGCAAAGAGAGGCTGGGAATTGATCTGCTCTGAGAATAGTTCAATCTGATCTGGCAGACAGCCAGCCATCGCTGTGAAATGTTCTACATCGGAGCCGCTCTGAGCACAGCTGTAGATTTTAGGCTAGGAATCAAGTCAGACGTACAGCAGTCATTCAAATTAGGATTTGAAACTTGACTGCCTGCCCCAAGACTTGATTTGAAAGTAAAAATCTTGATCAGTTTTTAATTAACAACCGTGAAATAACCTTTTAAATGAGGATCAGCTCAGTGCTTCGCTCACAAATCAGTTTTTCTGGTGTGGAGATAGACCTTTTTTACAGCCGACGTCATCAAAAAAGGATGTGTGCACATGTTGTAAATGGATGTGGCCTTTTGTCCCAGCCATCCAGACGAGTTAGCAAGCTTTGAGCATTGAATTAAAAGTGTTAACAGCATCAAAATGTCCGGTCGGGGCATGTTCGGTCGTCAGAATCGATATTCCAACAAGTGGACTCAAGCTATTAAATGGGTTGACTACCACTGGACTGATACAAATAATGCTGATGTTTGTAGCATCCTTTTTAAAAGTCAGTGAACTCAGAACTCCGAGTCTATGTCATGGTATTTGACGTTCTGTGCATGATCACAGATAACGGACTTGTAAGGATCTAGTGACTTGGACCCTTAGAATTTTTCGCTGTTGTAACATTAAACGCTGGCTTCCTCCACCAAATGCATGTACCTGGTCACTGAATATTTGCCCACTTGCTAAAGTATTCTTCCCATTAACTAATCGCACACAGATCTGGAAAGTCAATTTATCTAGGTTGCATTCACGATCTTTGGTGGTTGATGCCCTCGCATAGCTTGACAAGCTATCGCTTCTATATTCTTTCTACATACACAGAGTTACACTGACGTGAGTTATTTTTTTTGTCTTGGCGGCTCATGATTACGGTCTGAACCATATGACATGAACGTAACATGAGCCATGGCAGTGTGACAGTGAGCCAGCATGCACAATACCAGGAAACTGAAACAGCAGCAGCTAAATGGAATTCAGCCACCAATCATTTTATTTACACCAATGGTTTTCCTACTGTGAAGCTTTCAGTGCTGTGCTGTTAAGATATGCTAACCAGTGTTCGCTAAGTTAATTTAATTAAATGTTTATGCATAGCTTTTTTGTATGTAATGTCCAAGTGATTCTTATTAAATCATATTTATTATTAATTGCCCTGAAGATATGTACTGGACGATATGTGCTTCTGGGCACATTGCACCCCAGATGTGCACGGACACAAGATCAGAATATCTGTAACTGGCATGCACAACTATTACAAATAGTTTATTTTAATTACAGCAGAACTTTAACCCCATATCTGAGCATCTGAAAAAAAGGCACTTAATGAAAGAAGGAAGTTATGAAACTGTATGCAACATTAGTCTTTTTACAAGTCCACCATCTTCCTCTATTGGTATTATACTGCCACTTTTTCTATTATGAGTTTTGTAAAGCGGAACTTGTTTTCGGGCAAGTTGTCGGCCTTTTACCATTGTGTCTTTGGACAGCTGGCAATTTCCTATGAATGTAGAATTAGGGAGTGGGAGATAGAAGTGGGCCACTGGATATTCAACGGTATGCTGGCAAAATAAATAATTGAATTTCCATTTCCATCAATTCTGCCTTTAGAACAACAGAGATACTCCTCTGGTCTACTGTATATCTTAACATATGCTCCTGGAAACTGTGAACTGTATGAACTCAAATGTTGGAAGTCTCATCCAAAATTAGTCATCAGCCCGCTTTTACCAACTCTACTGAATATTATGTGTATTTTCACAACCTTGGCTGACCTCAAGGACAATCAATCAAACCAGCAGCTGAGATGGGGGATTGTTTCATGTGGATGGACTCCAGACTAGTAGTCTCGCCAAAAATGTCTGCCTTCCTTTTCTAGTTATCCCAATCTGTCAATCACTTTTTCTTTGATCTGTTAGGCTGAGTGAGGGGTGGTTAGATTGGAGACACTGGATTTTTGGCGAAACAAATGATTTGTACAATTCAAAATCCAGTAAATACTTTCAATCTTCATAATATGCTGTGCTCAGATTTTACAGCTCATTTTTTTTATAGCGGAACAAACACCTACACATTGTTCCCTGTTGATCGAAAAGATTTGTTCTCACAAAGGGGAGTAGTCAAGTTTGAACATACTCAGCACAGAGACTTCCCTAAAGGTCTTCTGAGAATTTGTAAAGACAATTCTTAATTTTGTAATGATTAATGTGGAATGTGGTGACTCACTCATAGCAATGCATTTACAGCAGGTGGATAAAAATAAAGTATATGTAATACATTTCTCAAATGTTAAACGGGTATGTTGAGTCACTTCGTCACTTCAAACTTCATATCTGTAGACCATAATTACTGTATACAGGTGACTAAGGGAAAAACAACATTACATTAATTTTGCAGACCTTTTTGTCCAAAGGAAATTACAATGAGTGCATTTAAATTCAATAGGAACAAGAGCTAGATGTCATAAAAAAAAACAACAACTTACAAATAAGTTCAGAGAGATGTGCAAGTGCTTTAGGTTTTTAGTTACGTGGGGTATTGAGGTTCAGAGGGTGGATCTATTCTTAAAGTATTGATACTAAGTCCTGTCTTGAGTCGTAGACATCTTTGGGATCTGTACTCAAAATAAACAAAACCAAAAAAAAAGAAAATTGCAAGTTTGACCAGTTAATAAATTTTATAGATTTTCTTGAAATTATTCTGTTCTGTAGCTCTGCGCTGCAGTATTTACAACCATCAGGGATGAAAATGCAATGAATCTATTTCCATTGTGGCCTTCTCATATGTAGACAATTTATTGGGAAAGGTCACCCCCGTCGAGCCTTCATCAGCAGAATTTCACTTGAAAAAAATCAGCTTACTTCCCTTCATGTCCCAAGAACATCATTTCACAACTCTGTCACTCTTCAACACATGATTTCACTGAAATAGTTGGCCTTACCCTCAGAGCTCCTCTCCGGGATGACTCAAGGGGTTTCCTGTTGCTAATGGGAAGCGGATAGCAATTGTGTATGCATGCGTGTGTGCGTGTGTGGCCACAACAACACACGTCACCACCATACTGTCACTTGCCCATCACTGAGGTTACACAAGCTGTCTCCGCTCAGCCGGGTCTGGCCCATGATGTCACCCTCAGTGGAATGAGAAAACACCGGCTGAGAAAAGGAAACAAG